ATGCATGCATACATAAATTATGGAGCTAACATAAGGGTAAAATAATGTGAACAATTTTTTAGGTATTTTAATTTGTTTTTCTTTCTTTTTTTTTTAACTACAATGTCACAAATAGGTATTACCTTTTCAATACTTACCAAACATAATTTGGACAAAGCTTTAGGGTTTCTCCTTAATTTCCCTGTAATTTTTATTTATTTTAGTGGGCAAATATTGGACAAAGACACACAACTAAGTCAGACTTGAGGTCATATCCACCACTGACAGAAGTTAGATTTTGCTCCAGGATTCCTTTATTTTCTGCTGTTCCATGACCATGATGATGACACATGCATTGGGGAGATTTTCCCAGGAAGTGTGCCTCAATCACCAAGTGCAGAATGCAAATATATAATTCAATAAAATTTTGAAAAGTCAACCACTTGAGTTTGAAACAAAGGAAATGAGAATTTTTCTACCCTCTATTGAATGGCCTCTCACTCAGTGTTAAAGTGGATCACTTAATCTTGGAAAATCCAGAAAATTCAACAGCTAGAGCTCATGCCGACACCCTCAGTTCTTTGGAGTTTGTATGGCTTTTTGTGTTCCTCTGCAATGTCTTCCACCTGCACCTTAATAGGTGGTCAGATCATAGCTGAGTCCCCTCCCCCCCCCCCCAACTTCACTTAGGAATGTGCTAGCCTTTTAGGTTCAAAAAGAAAGTGTTCAGATTTAATGGTTTTATGGCCCATCAACTCCTGTGTGGTAGCCTCTAATTGCATCCAGGGGCAGGAATTTCTTCTTAAACTTTTTTTTGACAGTTTAATAAGAATTTGCTAATATATTGAGCATTCCTGGAACGCTTTAGGTGAGTTTTCATATTTGTCTATAAGAGGTCCCAGCACTCCCTCATGTGGAATTCATCTACATAACAAGTCAGAAGCATAAAAGATACATCAGTATTTAATGAATTTCATTTTTCTTTTGTTATTTCTTGTATTTGAAGAGGAACAAAAGAACCAAGGGGGCTGGGAATGTGGTTCAGTGGTAGAGTACTTGCCTAGCACGCATGTGGCCCTGGGTTCAAGTCCCCAGTACCATAAAGAAAAAGAAGAAAGAAGAAAAACAACTACCACCACCACTACCAAGGTAGCTTCATGGAAGATGAAATAAAAATTTGTTATAGCCAGGCGCTGGTGAGCCAGTGGCTCATGCCTATAATCCTAGCTACTTAGGAGGCTGAGATCTGAGGATCATGGGTCAAAGCCAGCACAACCAGAAAAAGTCCATGAGATTCCTATCTCCATTTAACTACCAGAAAACCAGAAGTGGCACTGTGGCTCAAGTGGTAAAGCGCTTGCCTTGAGCTGAAAAGCTCAGGGACAGCACCCAGGCCCAGAGTTCAAGCAAATGACCAACCAAAAAATTAAAATAAAAATTTGTTATAATCCTAAACCTAAAATCAGAGATTCCCAGGGTAATTTTTGCAAAACATCAAGTAGCACAATAAGTATTATATTATCAATTGCTTCTCTGAGGTCAGAAATGCTCTACTTCCCTTGCAAGATTAAACTGAAGCTAGTGTAGCTATATATTTTATCTACTGCTAACATTTTTATTATTGTTATTTCTTTCAGTGTGTTACAAACTTGTAAAAATTGCACTGAATATGAAGGACAAAAATTTTAAATCCAAAACTAAAAATTAATCAACTAGAGTCTCAAATGCATGTGCCATTATTACTAGAGGTATCTAGAAGACTTGCTACATATCATAACAATCTCTACTTATTAAATTACGATTAAGAAATCTGCTACAACCAATCTGCTATTCACAGCACAACGCATATCAAACTTTCATAATGCCTTCCACTCATGTGCCCTCCAGTTCAAAAGAGTTTTTCCAAATTTTAATTTTTGTTTGTTCATAATTCAAGACCCCTCACATATGCTCACAAGTTTTACACAAGGCTCTTATTTCCTAATGAATTTCATTTTTCTGTGGTTGATTCCATCTTGTTAAAGTCAAAGGATAAAACCATAAAACCATACTATGTTTTCAATTAATATTCAAAGACGATAATATAGGGTTTGCCTTTGGGCTCTTGTGGCAGTTACAGATATTTAGAAATTGGTGGTGGTAAGAATAAATGAGGTCATAAATTCAAATTGCCTCTCACATTAATTGCTTAATAAAAGTCATCATTTTTCACAAAACTCTGAAGTGTCTCTTCCTTTCTTCTTTCTTTCTTTCCTTTCTTTCTTTCTTTCTTTCTTTCTTTCTTTCTTTCTTTCTTTCTTTCTTTCTTTCTTTCTTTCTTTCTTTCTTTCTTTCTTTCTTTCTTTCTTTCTTTCTTTCTTTCTTTCTTTCTCTTTTCAGTACTGGGACTTGGGTATTGTCCCTTAGCTTTTCTGCTCAATTCTTGTATTCTACCACTTGAGCCAGTTTTTTTTCATGGATTTTTTTTCTGGTTAATTGGAGATAACAGTCCCATGGACTTTCCTGTATAGGCTGGCTTTTAACCAGGGTCCTCAGATCTCAGCCTGCTAAGAAGCTAAGATTATAGATGTGAGCCAAAGCATTTGGTTGATGTATCACCTTTTGAACTGATGTAGTATTTATTAAACATTTGCTTCTGCTTTTAGCAAGATTCAAAGATTATCTATCTATCTATCTATCTATCTATCTATCTATCTATCTATCTATCTATCTATCTATCTATTCTTCTCCTGTATCCCAAAACTGCAGTATGAAAAACAGAGGACTAATATACAAATGTGCAAGAAATCCCCATTTATATTCTTTTGGGATGGTATAAAATATCCCAGAGTTGGGATTTCACAAAAATAAGGAAGGGCAGCTGTGCACATTCAATTATCTCTCTTTTGTATTTAAAGAAACTTTAAGAGGAGACAAACCAAAGGTCACCTAATCCTTGGGGAAATTTTTGATTTTGTCTTTGCAGTTTTCACACTATGAGTTTTTTCTTCTCTGTTTTTGCTTTAGCAGCAGGACTCTTTTTTTAAAAAAAAAAAAAAAAAAGAACTTTCTTCTGGAAATATGCAATACAAATAAACTGACCCTTAATTGACACAGCTAAGATCCGCCAGATTGGCTCCATCCCTCTGGAGGGAGACAAAGCATTCAAGCCATTGGTCTTGCTTAAGCAGCTCACTTTATCACTGAGAAATGTAAGTCTAGAGAGTGAAAATGACCTGCCACAAGAAGCAAAACCAGTTAGTGGTGAATTTCCCCATAAATCAGGTGTCTCTGCTGAACAGCCCAAGGGGCAGTTGTAGCCCACAAAAGTATTTTCTTTGGCCCACACATTGTTGCCCCAAATAGTATTTTTAGAGAATTGTGATTTATTTGGCAACATAGAAAAACTAGGAGATTATATATAAAAAATCTAGATTTCTGGCTTCTTGAAGTATTCAAAGATTTCGTGACCCCCATATCCACAGACCCTTGGGGAGAAGTTAGCTAGAACTAAGATCTGGCAGCTCCATTTTGGCTACCACACAAAAATCTCAGTATGAATGAGACTGAGAATGTGATACTAGCCCTGGGACACATAAAGTCACTCAAACAAAAATTGTAAACTGTGGTAAGCATCTTCATTTTCAAATATATTTTAGAACCTAATAATGGTTGTAACCACTTTTTAAAAAAGCAATATCCTATTGCCAGCCAGGCACCAGTGGCTCACAACTGTAATCCTAGCTACTCAGGAGACTGAGATCTGAGAATCACAGTTCAAAGCCAGCCCGGGCAGGAAACTCCATGAGACTCTTATCTCCAATAAACCACTCAGAAAATTGGAAGTGGTGCTGTGGCTCAAGTAGTAGAGTGCTAGCCTTGAGCAGAAGAGCTGAGGAACAGCGCCCAGGCCCAGAGTTCAAGCCCCACGACAGACAATAAACAAACAAACAAACAAATAAACAAACTGATACTTTGTGTGGTAATTTTTACAACTATTTAATAATAATAAAAATATAAGAATAAAAAGATCTCCCATGGTTTCTCCTTCTCTCTAAGTTTAAGGAGGACCATAAACAAACCTGGAACGTCCCAGCCTCCTACCTCCCTCTGGTCCTAGTATCAAGAAAGCTGCAGCCTTGACTAAGCCTGTCAGCTTCTCTGTGCCATTCTCCCATGGCACATATGAAAAGAACTTGAACCCACATGATTGGTTTTTCATTCCTAGAACCAAAGTGCTTTCACATCGTACTTTGTTCATACTTTTAGCCTTCCTTCTTGCCTTCCTTAATACCAAAAGATGTCAAGTCACATTCATTACTCACTTTCATATGAGTGTCTCAAAGAAGAATTTACAGAGATTTGGGCACAGTCTTTCAAATGTTCATCACGCCAGAGAACCAGGAAGTTAATGCATCATAATAACAAATTTTGTTACACTGTTGATGATTGTCTCTTCATTCCCTTCTAAGGCAGTCAGAAATGTTCTACTGGGAGCATAACCCTCCCCCCCCCTCCCGCCCATAAAGAAGAATCCTGATCCAAAAGCATAGGGAAAAATACTCAGCCAACCACATTTCTGTATTTGCTCCTTCATCATATACTATACATAATTTAGCTTGGAGGAAGCAGGTTGCCTTTTAAAATAAGTTGAATTCCACCACTGCTGTCAGCTAGCTGCCACTTTGGTCAGCCATTTCTCAGATCTCCACTTTCTGAGATGTTGGCATTCACACTCATAATACAACCGACATTCTCCTAAGCCCTTCTACTGTGCCAGGCACTTCATATGTGTGAATTTTCAGGTACTGTTTTTATTCCCATTCCACAGCTGAGGAAAACTAAGGCACAGAATGATCATCTGAGCTTCACAACTAGAAAGTAGAACAAGGCGTGTAAGAACAAGCATTTTGATGGTAGAACCAACAGACTTAATTTCTCTGCGTGTAGAAACATCCGGGGAAGTGTTTGCTGAACTCAGAGGAAGGAGCTGCTAACCCTTCGTCCTCTCCTGGCCCCTGGGTTGCGGGTTCTCTTCCTACCTCTCACAGTAGCAAGTTCACCATCCACATGAGCCATGCACTGCATGGCGGTAGCTGCAGCACAGATCGGCATGCTGACCCTCTGTCCTAACACGGTAGTGGACAGATCGATTTCAGCCACATTCCGGAGTACCCGTGGATACAGCTTCCATCTAGAATTTAATTTTTAAAAATAATTTTTAACATTTCAAAAGCATGGCCAAATCAAATTTAAGGTAAAAAGAGAAAATATGACCTATGGCTTGTGTTTTCTCTCATATGCAGAAGCGAGATATAAAATACATCCAGACATGGTAACTGATACAGAACTCTAGGCATCCACACACAATAAGACCAAGGAAGGCTACTCAGGGGAAGAACGCAAAGGCGCAATGCCTATGTGCCTCTAATCATATAAAATAAGATTTATCTAAATAAACTTCCGGAAATGGAAACAAGCATTCATGTGTATGCTTTGTTTTCTTTTTGTCTTGTTCATTTGTCTTTGGAAAAGTATAAGGGGCACAGAAATGGAGGAACAAAAGGTGAACAAATTCAGCAGGAATACTCATTAGACACTGTGTTGAAAGTGAAATAGAATAGAGATGGAACAGAAAACTGGGAGAGAGTGAGGGAATGGGTGATATTGTACTTATTACCTGACTTATGAAACTTCACCTTTATAATAACAATAAAAATATTATTAAGGGCTGGGAAGGTGGCTCAGTGGTAGAGCGCTTGCCTTGCATGCCTGAGTTTGATGGGTTTGATTCCTCAGCACCACATAAGCATAAAGAAAAAAGCCGGAAGTGGCTCTGTGGCTCAAGTGGTAGAGTGGCTAGCCTTGAGCTGAAGAGTTGAGGGATGCGCCCAGGCCCAGAGTTCAGGCCCCACGACCGGACCCTCCCCCCACCAAAAAAAACAAAATTAAATAGAAGAAATTATTGTTGGATTTTTTAAATTTTGATCCAAGCAACTACGTGGTGAAGGAAAAGAAGTAATTCAAATGTTCATTAGGGTAGAAAATTTTAACAACTGGTAATGAAAGTTATACAATGTAGATGTGCTACTTTTTCTGTGTCAGTTAAAATTTTTGAATATAAAAAAATAAGAAAAGATAATAAATTTCCCAATATTTATGGAAGTATAATTAACACTATAGGCTAGTTACTCAGAAGACTGAGATCTGAGGTTCAGATCTAGGCAGGAAAGTCCTTAAGTCTTCAATTAACCACCAAAAAGCAAAAGTAGAGCTGTGGTTCAAGTGACATAGCACCAACTTTGAGCAAAAAAAGCTAAAATACAGTGCCTAGGTCCTGAATTCAAGCCCTAGTATTGCCTCATACATGGGAAATTAACAAGTAGGAGAATTCATCTCATTGGTATACTGTGCTGTGAGATGTGACACTGCACAGCGTGACATAGTGACCAAGGCAATGAAGATCCAGAACAGTCTAGATATCTCCTAAATCCCAATTTTCTTAAACTTTCTCCCAACCTAAATTGCTTGACAGCAATCATTTTGTGAGTGCTTTATGATCATAATTCTGCTTGGTAAGAATGTTATATAATAAGATCATACAGTCATTTAGCCTTTTGAAGTCTGTCTTCTTTCCATCATGAATCTAATGCTCATCCTAAGTATTGCACAGACCAAGACTTTGTGTTTGGGGGTTGATGAATAGTATTCTATTGCACAGGGCTAGTGCGGTTAGGGGTTAGTTCCAAGCTAAGGGACATTGGCATCACTTCTAGTTTGTAGTGATTATATTAACATCATATACAGTCAGGCACCAGTGGCTCATGCCTGTAATCCTAGCTACTCCAGAGGCTGAGATCTGAAGATCACAGCTCAAGGCCAGCCCAGGCAGAAAAGTCTGTGAGACTTTTATCTCCAATTTACTACCAGAAAATCAGAAGTGAAGCTGTGGCTCAAAGTGGTAGACCGTTAGCCTTGAGCACAAAAAGCTCAGGGACAGTGTCCAACTCCTGAGTTCAAGCTCTACAACCAACAAGAAACCAAGAAAAACAACCATCCCTTACAACTGTCTGGGTGAATGTAATTCTTCCTTTACTTCTCCAAGGCCATTCATTGCAGGTGGTGCACAAAGGCAGACGGGTTAGAGTTTCAGAAGATCTGCTGCCCCTACTTTGTCCTCGTTTATCTGTGATAGATAGTAGCTTCAGGTAGTTAATTTTTAAAATGATAACTTACTTTGTCAAAAAATAATAGCACTGATTGTTGTACTCAATGAAGTATGATGACAAAGGATGACGGTTTTGTTTCCTTTTCTTCAGTTTAGCTAAACATTTTTCTCAAAATAGTTATTTGTCAGGAACGGTTGATTTTTTGCTTAAGGTGTTTGTGAAAATTATTTTAAATGACTTTTGCTGTGATTCTTCAGTGTTGAAATCTACCTATAACTCAGCAACCAGCAAATCACTAATAGAGTTTATGTTCCCTTTCCTCTCAGAAAAACCAATTTATATTTCCTCCTTGTTTGGGTTCATTATTCCCCTCATTAGAAATTGATTAAACATAAGAAAATACAGCTTTATTCCTATCAATATAAAAAACACCTTGTATAGACACATATCCATACTTAACCAATTGTCACATTTCACTTCCTAGATTTAACTCTACCTTGAGAATTTTTAGCAAGTTAGTAAAGTGACTTATTAATGCAGAAACCAGAAATAAAATATCCTGTAGCTTAAAAAGAAAACCGAACGTAATATTGCTTTGTGAACAAACTACAGGTCAGTCTTCTAACTCTTCTTCCTATAATAAAGTAAAAGCACACAGTCTCTGAAAAGCACAATAAAGCACTTTTGCCGCATGAAGTCTGCGCCATTCCTTTGAACATCTTGTCATTATAGTATGTCACACTATATGCTGTGTGGCCAGAAATCTTTTCTTCTTTGCTGACCTTCACAGCAGGATGCTTTAATCTTCATTTTAAGCAGGCAAAGGAAGAATTCTTGGAAGGAGTTTTAATTACCAATCATTTCTAAGTGTGTTATTAGAATGAGAGAAAAAAAGATTTTAATAGCAGCCCACTGGCATGCCAACCTTGAAGGGTATTAATATTTACTTAGGGCTGGAGGAACAATCAAAGCTTTTGTGACAAGAACATACAAAACTGCTGGGCATCTCTGTGGTGTGTGTGTGTGTGTGTGTGTGTGTGTGTGTGTGTGTGTGTGTGTGTGTGTGTGTGTGTGTGTGTGTGTGTGTATGTGTATGAAAGGACCTTTTTCAATATTATATTTTCATTTAGTAAAACCAGTTTTTTCTCTGAAGAGCAGCTTTTTTATTGTCCACATGGTGGCACCATCACCTTAGTAACTGTGGGTTCTTGCTTCCCGTAAACACTAATTTCTATTTGAAGGGTATTAAGGAAACTGGTCCACTAGTATATAAAATGCAATTGCTGAGCAAGATTGAATAATGCCAACGGGAATGGTAAAATGTACATCCTTTGGAGAGTCTTCCACATCCGGATTTTTTTTTCCCAACTGGCAAGGACAGTATATTTGCTATTTAGTTGTCATAGCTTTCTGAACCCCACCTGGCTCCACTCCAGATTTAACTGGCTGTTCTTTCATCCTGTTTGATAGGAAAACTTTACATTGTGCTCAGATGTGCCTGCAGTCAGGACTTTGAGTCCAAACTCTAAGTCCACACATTTAACTTATCATAAAAATCAGGCAACGTACCCATCCCCTCCCTCACTCCCCCCACCCCCCCCCCCACCCCCAGCCAAGGGCTGGTTACTCCTTGAAGGTATTTAAAAACCACTTGTATTGGAGCTGCACAGTTGCTGATGATGCCAGCTGACCGATCCAGGCTTGTGTTTTCTAGGATGTATAAGAAAGACTCATGAATTCCATCCCAGTACTTCTCCCTTCATTTTCTTTTCACTCTAAACCTTTACATGATTCAGAAAGCAGCTTAGCACCTATTTGAGGTTTTAGCTGACAGATCTAGAGCCTTTTATGCATACCGGAAATCCCATTGGTGAGTTTATAGTGCTTCTTAAATACTCAAGTGAGGATAATGTCACTTTCAACCTTCAGTTATATAAATAGCAGGGAAGAGAAGAGCTTCCTTTCTAAAGTCATGTTGTGGAGGGAGGAGGGGAAGATCCCAAACACAACAATTGTGGAATTACTTTCCATCAGTAATAATTTCAGATAAACCTACAAAGAATGTGTGTAAGATGTTCTGTTTTTCTTTTTCAAATTAACCCCAAACAAAACACATCTTGCAAAATACAACAAGCTACCATTTGCCCTGTTTATATTTTATTTGTCATAGGAACTTTCATTCTACTGACTGATTTATTTTACATTTTTTGTGGTGTGTGTGTGTGTGTGTGTGTGTGTGATTTTCCCCCTCTTATTTTGGTCAACATCATATTAGCATCCTAAGTTTAACCCAAAAATATGTACAAGCAACTTCTCGGTTATATGAGTGTCCCACGTCCTTGAAACTTAATGTGGTTGTCATATCTCTGTACAGGAAAGATAAAAGCTATCACTGAAAATGACCTTTGATTTTACTTGTGGGAATGGGAGGAGCAGAAATTTCATAAATGTCTTTGAAATACCCTGACCTTGTGTCACAACAGGTTATCTGAGGTTTTGTTGGTTTTGCAGCTTTTCTTTGAATCAGAATGAGAAACTTCAGAATGCTTGTCTTCATACCATCAACACCAAGCCTCTGCAGCCCTAGTACAAATGCTATTCTAAGTCCCATATGACCAGCTACAATGATACAAGGCAAGGAATCAAGTCACACGGAAAATAAATCACAGAGAAAAAGATGTTACATGGGGAACCACCCCTAATATTTCTTGCAACATAAACTCAACTACTTGATATTTTTAAAGAGTATTGCCTGTCCTCCAAAGAGAGTTGCTTTGATTCCTTTTTTTAACTCTTTAAATATGATCAGAAGAGAATGATCATGGTCCATGCAAATGGAATAATGTTAACTCTTTTGGTTGTTCAAGTCCAATCTCTGAATTCCTCAGTAATACCCACATAGGATGCTGATACTTGGTGGGGTGCCATGTAATTCACAAGAGCTTTAAGCTGATTTTCCAGGTTATAACTTGGAGGTCATGTTAAGCATTCTATGCTTAACAAAGTTTCTAGAATTTGGGAGATTGCTTACATGGTCCAACCACTTTGCTATAATGCTTTGTTCCTCTTCTGACCTCCTCTTGGACACCTGTTTTGAGTCCATTTCACATCATTTTAACTGACTAGCATTATGGTGGCCAAAATAAGTGTGTATCCACTGGAGTGGAAACTCTTATGGATGGGAACAGTCTACTAATTGATCTCTCTTCAGCAGATGGGAGTTTCTAGTCCATGAAGACTAATTATAAACATAAATTAACTAACGAAGTGTCGTGAGGTGTGTAAAGGGAAAGGAAGGCTGCACAGAGACAGAATAGGAAATCATCTGGAGTGATGCTGAGACACTCACCCTATACATTTGCCACAGGCCTGAACATTACTTGATTATAATGACCTATTTGGGTTATGTGGGGGTTTTTTTCTTTTTTTGAGACCATTCATAGACAAACCATGCTAACTGGGGGACAGAGGTGACATGGTCCCAAAGAGGAACATCCTATAACAACAACATTTGTAGCTCCCCCAAGTCTGAAAAACAGAACCCCAGGAAACAGGAAGAATGCTGAAAAGTTTGATATTGATCACAATGCATTATACTCATGGACTGACATATTGAATTGTAACTCCTTTGTACAACTACTTAAAGACAATAAAAAATACAGTTTTTTTAAAAAAGATCATTTTTGCCAAAAATTGGTGGGAAATTTTAGGTCCGTCTGTTCTTAGCTGATTCTCCCTTCCATGGTTTCCACAGCAATTTTTTTTTTTTTAGTTCAGCTATGTTTCAGGGCAATCCTGAGTCTAGAGCTGTGGGGGAGAGGAGAGACCCCTCTCTGCCCAGTAACATTTTTAGGCTCCTGGAGGTGCTGTCTGCCAAGGACTATCTTGGCCAGGATAATTTCATTTCTCCTAATTTACATGTAGAAAAGTAATTGGAAGTAATTTTGCACGAGATTAAAGGAGAAATCAAAGGGAAGGCAAGTTCTTTCTTCCTGTATATTTTTACCCCCTTTCTCCTTTAATGTGTTACCATCAATAAATGCTTGTAACATTCATGGTCTTTAGGAACGATTGTACTGAAAGAGAGCAGTGTATTGAAGGCTGAACCCCCACCCCACCCCTTCTCCTGTGAGAAGAATCACCCCTTTAGAGTTATCTTTCTTTCTTGTTTTTATTACAAACAAGAAACATAAACCATGACAGCCACCATCTTGTGCCTTGAAATATGAAAGTCAAGGGAAAATTAATTTGGGAAGAGAGATGGAGCCCTGCAGAGGAGAGATGAAACAGAAAGGTTGAAAGATTAATGTCACACTGACAAATTGAAATCTAAAGTGAAAGTTTAGACACCAGTAATCAAAATGAATGATCCCACAAGAAGCCAGCAGGATGCAAACATTTGAAACAATAATCCTATCTGGTTCAACCAGATAAGATGACTATCTTGCTTTTAGAGCTGTCTCCTACTCCATGAACCTAAGTAATCACTGTGGTACTCTGAGAAAAAAATGGAGCCCTCAGAATTTGTGACTACTTTTAAAATGCTGTTAAATTAATTATCATTATACTTTTAGGTGAGGAAATGGGTTGGAAATTGCAGTCAATGGTTCAGTATTCCCAGGCTTGGAATAGTGTTTTTAAACAATTTAAGGTCCTAGCTTTTATGACATCTCCAGGAATTTCTCCCCTTCTCTGTTCATCACAAATGCACACAAATAAATCTCCACCATCAACACAAAGCTAGAGCTTAATTTGGTACAATGTCTTTGTGTAATATCAAAACACGTGTGTGTGTGTGTGTGTGTGTGTGTGTGTGTGTGTGTGTGTGTGATACTTTTGGGACTTTGAACTCCAGCCTAGGCATTGTCCCTGAGCTTTTTTACTCAAGGCCAGTGCTCTACCACCTAAGCCACAGCTCTACTTCTAGCTTTTTGTCGTTAATTGGGGGTAAGAGTTTCATAGCCTGCCGGCTTTGAACCACACTCCTCAGATCTCAACCTCCTAACTAGGATAATAAGCATGAGACACTGTCTCCTGGCTTTAAAACACAATTTTAGATAACAAGTTCTCTTACCTGGAAAATGCTGTAATATTATCAGCCAAGGTTTCCTGATCATTTGCCCCAGATCTATAATAGTCATATATAGTCTTTTGAAGCACTGATTTCGCATGCTGTTCATAATCATTGATACAAACAAGTCGGGGTAGCATTTTCACAGGTGTTGCTACTTTAGCTGTAGCTGCGTTATTTTCACAAATTGTCTTGTCCACCCTGAAAATCCCATTATTAGTCAATGATTAATATGCTTTTGCCAAAGTTCATATTTAGTTGTCTCTTGTTTACGTCAACTGAACAAACATATTGTTAGACTTTGAAATTTAATTGTTCACCAAACAGCATCTAATCTACATGAAGATGAAGATGGAACTTGGAAGGTAGTGGAGGTGTTTCCTGTTAGCCATGTTGAAAGAATAGGGAAGTGAGTCCACAATTAAGGACTTGGAAAATATTTCCCCAAGGCACTCTTGGTTCAGGTCTACCTCAGACTGATTCTTCCACACCATCAGTACTTACTCTCTTCTTTTGGGTGCCCAGATGGACTGCCTATATTCCTTCCACATAAATATCATGCACATATCCTATGAAAAAGAGCTCATGGAATGACTTATCAAGGAAAGTTTAGGTGATCATAAACATTTGGCTTTAACATGCATCATGAAGGCCAGATTTACAGCTAATTCTAAAAGCATCTTCTCTTGCTCTGAGAAGGATGGATGGGGGAAGAAGGGCTATTTTAAAAGACTGTGATCTTCATCTACAATTTCACCAAATCATGGGAGACCTGGGGAAGATTTGGATGAGCTAAGGCATGGTTGAAACATCAGTGTTTTTGACATGTGTGAGGCCTGGTTTTCAACCTTGGAACCTCTACTTCCAGCTGTTTCTCAGCTGTTGAATTCTAGTTGCCTTCTTGTGTGAGAATTTTCTCTTGAACTCCGATGCTCTTTTCCAATCCACAGGACAAGCAAAGTGTTAGAATCAATGACCTATGCAACAAGCCCTCAATGAGAAACTTTAAAAAGACAATGTATTAATTCCCCATATCCTCTTTCCTCCAGTGGGGTTCATTTTTCCTAAATCCGTGTCACACATTGTGGCTCCAGCTGCCCACAGTATGAGTGTGGGAGACAAATGTTACTGCGTTTACAACATTCTGTCACTCACTTCTCTATTGGTACTACCTTTGCCTCCCAGATAAACCCCTTTTGGTGTAACCAAACCATGATAAGAATACTGTTAATACCTACACCAGCTAGGTGTTTGAGAGAATATATGCATCATCATAGAGACAATTAGCCCACACAGGTTGTCCCCACTCTCATCTTCCCAATCTCAATATTTCTTTCCCTCACCATTTTCTCTTGTAAAAATTATTTCATAAAGCAGTCTATGAATATAACATACGGCGATTAGTGTCACCTCCAACATTCTCAGACCCCCCCCTTGGACCTACCCTTTTCTTTACTATTTTTGTGGTATAGACAATGAATTATTGACTCCCATCACCATTTTCTAAAAGACTTTTTGCTTATTGTCAAGTGGAAAGGCACAAATCCCTATATGTGTAAGAAAATGGACAGAGATTCTTGGGCTTTTAGAAGGATATGTCTGTACTGTGGGTATGCTGATTCTTTGAGTAATTGCTCCAATTTATTTTCTGTATCCTCAAGAGAAAAACCATCCTGCAATAACATGTATTCTTATAGCCAAATTTTTCAATTTTCGTGCCCGATGCTTTGTATAACTCTATAGAATAAATAGCAGAGCATGTAGATTCATAGGATCTTAGGCAGGCTGTTGGTCTATGCTTATTTTTATAGAGAGAAAGCATCTATGGGTGAAAACAATGTCTTTGGAAAGTTATTTATAAAGGACAAGAGGGATTTTTCAATGTAAAATGTGTTTTGGAGCCAGGAAAATGTACTGAAAGCAAATTAACTAAGGAAAAGGAGCGGATTGAATGAATTTCCATCTCTGCTGTCTACTTGTCATTGATATAGAAAAGATAGTAGTAATAATTTTAACAATTTTAACTCAGTTTTCAAAAGATAGGTAAAATGTTTTTTAATTCAATTGTGAAAATACCCTTTATGTTAAGCAAAGATATTGCCTATCCATAAGGACAGAATAAGAAAAAAAATTATCCTTTTTTTTAACCTCTGATGAACTTGTCTAGGTAGAATAGCTTTTCTTTATCTGCTTTTGACCATTAATTATTCAGGACACTTTAAACCAATATTGGCTAGTTATGGGAATATTGATTGACATTATTTTAATGGAATTTTGATTTAGGTTTATCTTAATGGAACTCATGCATTTACTCATTAGTGGGCTTATTAACTAAAATAACAGATTCTTTGCTTTTACTTATTGTTGTATATATGTTGCATAATATTGCTATGTGTAATATTTCCTTATAATATATAAAATAAATATGTAAGCTCATTGGATGAAAGCTTTACAGATGTTAGGTTAAAGGCAAAATTGGAAAACATTATTACTTATGAAAAGCAGTTTCTTTGGTGGTGACTTCTTTGGAAACATTAGGTCCAAATGTTATGTGAGCTAACAGAAATAAATGAAATAACCATTCTTTAGTGGTGATACTGAGACTACTGCCTGGTTTGATATGAAACTTTAGTTTACTTTCCATATAGAAAAAAGTTGTAATGAAGATTAATGATGAATTAAATGCTTAAACATCAGATCACAGTAGGTAAAGGACTCAAGAAGTTGTGGAAATTCTAAGTCAGACCTCCAAAACCCTCATTTCAATGCTGATTCTTTTGTCTTCCTTAAATGTATTGGAACAGAATGACATTTACATATGTGTATGTTTGTTCTGTGATTTTTGACACTCAAAAGAAAAAGCTGGATTTGGGGATTTTGTGTTGGCTCTTAGCAATTAAAATTTCCAAATATGAGCAAGCAGGGAGAACGACGCAAGAACTTCTGAAACTCTGGTTTTATGAAAGTACAACAGGAGACATTTTTGCTTTATTCAACTTGATAGATCTACAGGGTATTCTGACCTTGAACTCCTGCTTTCCAGGTTGACATGACTCCTCACAACTGTGGCAGAGCTGTGCTAATATCATTTTGTCCTGAATAATGGGTCTCTTTTTTCACCTAAGAAACTCATTCCACAGCTGTCATGTTGAAAGCAACACTCTCTGGATCAATTAAATCTCATAATCACTATTACAGTGATCTCCTTGATGAAAATCAACAGAATCTTCTGAAAGTTCTGTGAACAATTATCAATTTGCCTCACACTCATATGCCTGTTTCTGATCAGAAAAATAAAGGTCATATTTCAACCTCTGTATAGCAGATAAGTGAAGTCTTATCAATCACTTCATTATAGGAAATAAATGCTGTCAATCTTTCAGGTGTCCCATTTTTAATGTCTCTACAAAGCCCCAATGATGGGCAACCAACACCTTCTCTAAAAAGACAGATCATAGGATTTTTCAGGGCTGGCTTTCCTCCAGGCTAGAATAAGACAATATTCTAATGAAACTTGTAGCTCTTTTCTATTCTAAGCCATGCTTTACCCACTGTGTTGTAACTCCTGAAAAAGGGATACACACAGGCTTTGGAACCCTACTGTTACTCCTTATCTAAGAAAGAAAAAACATACATTAAAAAGGTAGGTGGGAGTGTTGAAAACAAGATGGATTTGCCACTGAAAAACCACTAGGAAAAATGTATGTCTATATTGTCAACATCAAATGGTTTTCAAATTATTACCAAAGGCAATTTCCCCCTCAGTGCTCTATATTTCATTCCTGAAAACAGTAACTGTACATCAACTCTATTGCAATCCTCTTTTCCTCAGGACTTCAACTTCTAAGTGTTTTTGCCTGTCTCATTTTCCAAATGAATCTGTTCAGTGAACCACAGTCAGACATCATTGGGAAACAGGCCACCTTACAGCTCAGCCTTTTAATCTTAATAAGATTTTCCAGAAATCATGTGGATACAGATCATACAAATGATTCTGCTCTCTCAGCTCTCAGTAACAGGAAAGTGTCTGTTAATGTGATGTTAGTATTGATAGATGCCAACATTTTCCAGAAAGAAGGTGCCATCATCTCCAATGTGCAGGAAGCAGTTTCTCAATGGGTGGTGATATCTCAAATACAGGAATTTTTTTGTGATTGACTTAAAAATTATGGTCAACCAGGCATGTTATTTATTTTAACCAATATTTCTAAGCACAGATAAAATTTGTTTTATGATTTTTTCCAGTTGGAGTCAGTTCTTCCTACTAGTGCCAAAAATTCAACACTTAATAACATTAAATAATTTCTGCTCAGAGAAGATAAGTAAATTTTCAAACTGTTTGGATGCATACAAAATGAGCATTATATGAAATGCAAAAGCAATGAAGGAGATGTGAAATCTCTATGTTGCATTTTTTTATTTGCAATGATAGGCACTCTTATAGGAAGTCAGTAAATTCTAGAAAAGTTTTTCCCAACTGTGCTTACATAGATCATTAAAAAAAATTCCTATATATTAGGAAAAAAACATGATTTTTTGATGGAAACTATTATTATCTAGATTGTAACCTATTATGCTACTTTTCCTGCAGCCTATAATTATGATTGAACACTCACAATTTCTAAGTTGTAGATACAGATGAATGACAGAAATACAAACTAACAAACATTTGATTCATAACAGTACTTTGGTTCAAGTGTCATCTTTCATGATCATTCAAACAGATGCTTAAGCCAAGACTTAGGAATCACTATTCTTCTTTTTCCTATTCATTTTCCACAGATTATACATTAATAAGCCATGTTTGTCTTAGTGTTAAAATTATATTCTATTTCCTACCATTAAACAACATATACATTCCAACCAACTTGGTCCAAGTTACCACCTTTTATCTTGTATTGATGACCAGGTAAGGAAGTTAGAAACTTGAGTAAGATTATGTTTCTCATCTGCTTTGAGTTTTCTAAAGCACTTCAATCACAATTCAACTATAATCCATTCTATTTACCCTGTAATTCTTTTTTGTTCTTCTTGTTGGTCATGGGGTTTGAACTCTGGGCTTGGGCACTGTCCCTCAGCTCTTCAGCTCAAGGCTAGCGCCCTACAACTTGAGCCACAGTACCACTACTGGCTTTTTTCTGCTTATGTGGTGCTGAGGAATCGAACCCAGGGCCTCATGCATGC